AGACAGTATCATGAAGGAGTCTCAGCGTCGGAAGCCAATCGGTTTTAGTAAGTGCTCGAACTCCGGCCCCAAGACCATTTTCTTTTTTTGTTTCCCTGGGCAACGGCCACTAACGACTGCTTGTCCATCAGCTATCGTCCGACGAAGCGTCACCGAAGACATGAGACTCTCCAACGGCCTCTTGCTCAAGAAAGGCATGCGGATCCACGTCGACATGCACCGGATGCAGGATGAGAAGGTCTACGAGAACCCCGAGGAGTGGGACCCGAAGCGCTTCCTCGCGATGCGAGCGCAAGCGGGCAAGGAGCACATGTCGCAGTTTGTGGCTACCAGCGGAGACCACTTCGGCTTCGGACACGGCGAGCACGCGTGCCCCGGCCGGTTCTTCGCCTCCAACGAGCTGAAGGTGGCGCTGTGCCACCTGCTCTTGAAGTACGATTGGAAGCTGGCGCCAGGGACGGCCGTGAACCCCCTCATCAGAGGATTCTCCATGATATCGTGCCCTACTGCCAAGGTCCTGATCCGGCGACGGGAGAATGTGGAGCTGGATATCGATTCTATTTGAAGGGCAGTGCTTAAGTGTACCAGACATATAAATGGGGGCTAAGCCTTGATGTCCGATGTCGCTAAGCTTCTGGTCGTACGGGAATAAGAGCGGACAGATGAATGGACATAAGTTAGGGTATCTCACTTGCAGGGTTTGTTTTTTTCATAGTATTACCCCCCCTCGATTTATGTAGGTATTATGTACCTATATATATGTTATTAGGTAGGTAATTCGCAAGGAGTTGGTATAGGCTAGGTAATACCTAGGGCAAGGGATCCCAAGTTCTGGATGGATAACATGTAGGCATGAAATTGACCATCAATTCTTTCTTCTTTTCTCTTCTTTTTCTGTAGTATATATAGTGACCTAAACAGGGATCAGATAATTTATAGCATTACTATGTATGTACCTTACCAGATTGGAGTATCATCCCTGGCTTCAGCTAAGGCAATACTCCACTACGGTTGGTCAAATATCACCTTACTGGACCCCTGATTCCCCAGGGCAAGATTCCATCGAGGCGGTCACCCTCCGGGAACGTTGCTGATGTTTTATCTCCGCAAAGTCCTACTGAACACTAAAATAGCCGTTTGGAGGGTCGGAACGATGCAGAGGAAAGCATAATAAGTGGAATGGTCAGCTTGGTCATGCTATATTAACTTGAAAAGGGGGGGGATAGGTGTCAGTTCAGCCCTACACTACATAGGTAGGTACCTAGGTATTCACATGTTAGGTTATATTCCCCTTTCTAGTGTAAGTACTAACTATCAAGATGCCATAAGCAGAGTCTACCAATGCTACCCTCCCCCAGCCAACCGAGCAGTCGGATGCCACTCAATCCGCCGTTCTGGGGTCGCCGAGAACGAATCATATCTGAAGTCTGGGTTCTCTATATCCACTCAAAAGCAGATATTCGACAAATAGACTACACTACAACTGGGCAGGATCAACTGTTTGAGGTACGACCGTACGAGGTTCACGCCTCCCTGCCACAATGTCATTTAAATCTAGATAGATAGATAGGTAGGCCCTGCGGATTACATCTTCCCTCCGGTCTTCTCCATATCGCGGACCCATGTAAGTGGACAAGCCCACCAATTTAGCCTCCTCTTATCCAGCATTGCCCCCCCTCTCTAGCCCCAAGAACTTATTGTTTATAAGCAGCGGCGGGCCAAAATACCTATGTCAGCGTGCCACATTTACCCTTGAGTATTGGCGTGTGTATGTTGCAGCTTGGACTCTGGCCTTCAGTATTTCGAAATTCCAGGATCGGCCCGGATCACCTTAGGTAGTTAAGCAGGATGCGTGCCCGCACGTGTAGAGCTGCGAGCTCAATCGCCAGTCTTCTGGCCTTGGCGAGCGTGTTTTCAATACCGCAGGTAGTGCTGGCGGCCCCAAATGGCACACCTACTCGCACGAGAGGGCGAATACAGCGACGCACAGACGGCGAAAGTAAGAGTGGTTTTTTTTTTCTCCTTTGTATTTTGGTGTCTCAATCGAGTGCGGAGGTCCCGAGTACTTATATGTTCGCCATCAGCATTATGCATTTCATGCTTGGCAAGGACGTGTGATGACGGCTCGGAAAGACATTGGTCAAACAGTGGTCACTGTCACTAACATGGGCGATGGCAGATGTTGTGCTAGCGGACTGCAAATCAACCGACGGCGTGGCGTCATCAGAAATCGCGTATTACTCGGGCACCCCAGACAGTTCACCCGATGATATCGCACAGGTCACTACCGAGGAGGGCAAGACGGAGCAATGGGCGAACAATAGCATTTCAGGGTATTTCAACACCACGGGAGTGACGTTCCGGGCGACATTGGGCCCGACGGGCGACAACGGCGATTATGCAGGATTAGGGAATAATGGCTATGGGGATTTCGTGTGTTGGCAGAGCAGTTCCAAAAATCTGTACAGCTATGATGGCAAGACGTGCTCGGGCGTATACGACTGCAATCATGATGCAGTCTCGTGTAAGAAGGACTCCCCGTTTGGAGATTACATGCAGAGCAAGTTGGCTGATCCCGATTTACAGCGTCCTCCGCCTCGTCCGCCTCAGGCAACTCCAGTTCTCGGTCCGGCGACGACCTGTCGACTGGCGCCATCGCCGGCATAACCGTCGGGGTAGCCCTCGTGACACTATCCCTCGTGAGCGTTGCTGCATTCTTCTTGTGGAAGCGCTATTATCGCCTAAGACAGCCACCTCCTCCCGCCGACTTCCCACAAGAGGAGCCAGACAGAGCAATACCCAAAACGCCGGAATCGGCCGCGCAGTACATGTCGCGACCCATCCACGAAATGGATGCGCAGACACAGCCCGTCGAGGTTCACGGGGACGCGAGAGTAGAGCTCGGCGAAGTCATGAGGTTCTCGTGGCTCCCTTCACCAGGGCCGCCTATGTACAATAATAATAATAATAACAGCGAGTCGAGCCCAAGAACCCCCGTTCACCCCGGAGCATATGGAGACCAGAAGGGCACCCTATAAGCCAACTTTGGATATTCTCCGCACACTCGGGATTGAGGATGCGAGCTCACCTTATTGTATATACAAATTTTGCTTGGATTAAAAAGTCAACGATACCCCCATCATTATATCGAACTAGAAACCTACGATGTGCATTATCGTGAAGGAGAATCATGCTTACCTAGAGAAAATCCCAAGGCATAGCCCTCCAAAAAAAAAGCTGGTTCTACGTATATCACTAATGGCGTATTGGCCGGGACTGTTGCGCTTCTGGTACTGAATACTGACTAATTCTCCGCGCAGCAATCTAACAGTGTTTATTCCCAAATCCTAACTTGGTTTTCGCCAAATTAAAAAAAAAAAAAAAAAAAAAAAAGATTAATCGCAGTAAAAGGTAGGTACAATCAGGATCTTGGACCGGTCGTCCAGACAAGCCTAACGTTTCTAGGCGCCAAGGATAGCGGCGGAAGATGCTTATTCTTGGATTACCTAGGTAGTGTATTACTACTGTAGACTAAAACCTTGGGGGCCCTCGCCACCACAGTTCACTACACTACCTAGGTACCTAGGTACTTAGTTAGTAGTATCGTGCGCGATGAGCCGACTACCGGCAGGTAGGGAAGGGGGGGGGGGGGGGGGGGACCAAATGTTGGGAAAGTCTGGGAAGCCTCTTCAGCTGAGATGGCAGGGATAGTCAGGGTGCTATAAAAAGATAGCAAGGCTGGAAATCCACTGTAGGTCAGACGCTATTAATAAATCAGATACCCCAATTCTGCAATGCTGCTCATCTGGGGCTATCTTTTGCAGGCTTGGGATAAATCAAATGTTTTGGTGAATTAATTGATATATACCTAGGTACCTACCTGGGTATAAATAGGTTTGTTAAATGGTAAATTTTAGCTGGTAGAAAAGTACCTTAATGGGAGTGGCTGTGACCCGGTATTCGGAGAGTAGCATGCACTTCAGCTAGAACTCTTGTGCAGGCATTCATGGCTTGGGGGATTACAATGGGGAGAAGACCTAAAGTCTCAAGCAAGGGATATTTTTTTCACAAGTAACATTAAATTGACACAAAGCTTTCGTCCGAACTAAGCACTAGGCACCTGCACTACCTGCCGACATAAACTACATGCCGGGCCGGACCGCCGGCCCCACTTTGACCGCCTCTCGGGTCCGGACGCTATGGATCGGACATGTTACACTACCGAGATTCAACGTCGACTGCCGTCTCCTCACGGCACCTGATCTAATAAAAGAAATTATTACAAGTACAGCAACCACGATCATAACAATATGATCACGGATGTACTATTAAAATCTTCATCAGCCAAGTCAATCCAAGAAAAAAATCCTCCCACACACATCATTGCCCAACAATTTATTCTATGCCTAACCGGTTTCTTTTCCAGAAAGTGAAGAAAATTAATGCAATGCATTTATATAAAATGACATTTATCATGGCCACACAATGTCTTCAAAATGTCGTAATCCATATATAGGTAGTGGCAGGACCATCAAATGCATCAATCTTGCTATTTGAACTTGATGTCTCGTGGTAGCATTGCTTTGTTAACTATTTTCATGGGAGTCAAAGCATCATCTTTCTCATCCATACCCACCTCGGGTTGGAAATTTGATAGCAACAATTTTAAAATGGAAAGAAAAACCTCTACGAGAGGTACCTACAAGTGAGGATTGGATAGGTACCTATGTAGGCCAAGAAGAGAGTAGCTTCACTCACAGGGCAGGGAGCTTGTATAATTATTTTGGGACAAAATCGCGGCCTGGGCATATTTTCGGCATCTCTATCTCTAATCAAGTTGATCTGCAACATCGAGAAGTACCGGCCTAGAGAAGATAGGTGCTGAGAGAGACCTTGCCAGTTGAACGCAAGGGTCAGTCAGTCAAGTGAACTAAGAAGGGCAAGACATGGACAGCAAATCAAATACTACCTGAAAAGAAAAATAATGTAAAAAAAGTAATTCGCCGGGGAGGGATTTGAACCCTCATCTCCGGTCCACGTAGGCGGGTTAGGAAATGCCTATTAGGAAATCTACCACCTTGGGAAGCACCTTAGGAATGGTGGTGGTAGTGTGGACCGGCGCGCTTACCATTGCACCACCCGGCGGTTATTGGGCCAGGCTCTCACCTGTTGTTGGGAAACAGCGACAATATTTTGGTATATACGCTTAGGCGCAGGGGAAACACACCCTAGGATTTCCAGCGTATGGAAAATAGGATACGCCGCCCCGGAGCCCGTAGTGCTGGGTACCGGTAGTACCCTATGTACCTAGGAAACCCCTACAGGAAACCCCTTCAGTTCTACCTAGATGGCTCTGATAGACAGCTACGGTTACTTTATCTTGGGCTAGGCGTTCTTATTGTTTTCATGTACATTCACACCCGTCTATTAGTGACTATGTAATATGTCTTACACGATACGAGCTTGCAGGAGAGTACAGAGCTCTAGGATCATCCTGTAGCGCTACCCCCCTCACTGTGGCCTACAGTCACACTACATTATCGCTTTTACGGTACTGCTAATACTTGCTAGCACCAACGTGTTATTTATACCTCGCGACGTACGTATCATGTCTTCCACGTTTTATAAGAAGAGGTATTGACCATCAGGGCTCCAGAATTACCACCAAAGTCTCTCCACGATATTTCTCAACCACGCTATAGCTGGGGCTACTGCATCAAGACTCCTCTCCTTTGCCTCCTCTTCAGCTACTCCAATTCCGTTTATTTAGAGCTATTCGCTAATACGATACGCGCCTAGACTCCCAAATTCCGTGCAGAATGTGTCAACCGCCCTACTTATACCGTCTCCTACATACCTCCTATATCGATCCAACACCGTCCGCTCTTAAGGGCTACAGCACATAAACCACTATCTGCTCACGAGGCCAAAAATTGCTACGTATCTAGCATTGGAATACACGAACAACTTCTAGCGCCTTTATCACAGTTCTAGCAATTGTCGATACAATATTTCCCAATATCGGACAGAGGGGGGAAAGGTACCACGAGGGCCATGGCAAGCACTCAGGCAATTACAAGATTGTCGTGTGAGAGACTAGAACTAAAGCTAGCTGTAATACCGGCACTATTTTTGCTCCCTTGGGAAGTACGTACCTCTATGTACCACCCGATCTTACACACCACGCCTGACAGAAGGGGACAGGCGAAGCTGTGGTTAGACTGGGGATTACAAGTTCAGTTATATGGTCCGCGGCTACTCTTGTCCACTAAAGATCATTTCGTTCTTCAGTCGCTCATTGTACCTCTCGTTCTCCCCGTTATCGATATACAATGGCCATCTGGAGCTTTGGCGCAAGTGTTGCGTATTCACAGTAACATACTCTTCGTTGGATTTTCAAGAGAGTTGGTATTGCGTTTAGTGCGAGAGTAGTGGTGTTAAGTGGGCAAAAAGGGGCACAACGGAGTAAAGAAAGATGGGGGGGAGTAAGGGGTCACTAGGTATTCGACCGAGAATAATCGCTGGAGAGCTCTCGGTTTATTTGTGGCTATATTACAGGGAGTCTTCGTCTCGTAGTGCCATCTCTCCTGAGTAGTCCGCTTCTAGTCGATGACAAGTAGCGATATTGTGTAACGTATCAATGCCATTAAGTATGTACTATCCATATAAGAGCTAATAGCCGGCACGGCATTAGCGTTAGCTTTTGTCACATATTGTCTACAAGTCAACTAGGTACTCCAGACTAGGAGGCCATCTTACAGCAACTGGAGCGTTCCGAGACCCCTAAACGCCAAGCTACACAACGTATTTACATAGTTCTCCCAAGTATTCGAAGTCCAAAGGTAGAACCTTCCATGCTTATAGCGTGTAGCTACCATCAGCCAGCTGGCCAAGTACCCCCGAAATATGAGCACATATTTATAGCGTTCATGACTATAAGTTGTTCTGTTAAGCCAGGTAGAAGATCAAGGAAGCGATGTCTTGGCGAACATGCGACAGAACCCGATTAACGAATAATCATCCATAGATGCATATACCAGGAATGACTGACGCATAATAGTAATAAACAGGGGCACCTAGGCTGGAGCTGTTCTCAGCAAGCATTTACCTTAAGGCTAGGTGTTTCTTCTCTGGCCGTCTTCGTCAGACAGAGATTCTTTCTCTTCCCATCCATCTGCATCTAATTTACTCGCACGCCATCATCTAGATACATCCACACATCATCAAATTGTGAAAATCAAAAACAGAAAAAAATGGCTGATTGCGGACTCCCCTTCCCCGTCGTCTGCATCCAATGCGGCCGAGGCGTCGGTTTGTGTGGCATCAAAATCATCGGCAAGTCTTGACCCTCCCGCCAACCAGCCACAACCATCACCGCCCGGGGCCGGATCGCAGAGCTCGCCGCAACCTACCTATGGGCCATCACGGACGGCCCCAGACCGCGCCGCCTGCTCTGAGGCCATGCCGGGCCATCCTTGCTTTTGCTTCACGGACCTAGGTAACTGGCGCGCGTTCATATGCTGATACCTATCGTGAAAACAGGGCCTACCATTGGATTCTGTGTCGCTGTGCTCGCTGCATTTATCTGCTGGCCCATCGCGCTTCTGTTCTGTTGTTGCACCGAGATGGGCAAAGAGTGAGTCTACCTACCCACCCATCCACCCAATGACTGCATTCGCGTGCAATTGGCCGAATTGTACTAATTGCACACACTCTCTCTTTCTCGTCTCTTAGATGGTTTTGGAAACCGTGTGAAATCAACGCGAAGGTGTCCGACCTATTTCCTATCTGACATTGGGGGGAGGGATACACGCGTCTCGCCAACCGTGATATCCGGAGAGGGCGGTCTTGGTATTGAGGCGGTGGGGAAAGGTGGTTAGTTAGCAAATCCTACCGCTGTCTTGCATTTCATGATGGATGGGAATGAGTATGTTTGACGGATGAGGTCTCGCACATGAATTTTCTTGTGTATGGTAATGAGAGAGAGAGAAAACACATTTATGCTAAACTTCTACTAGAATGATTATTATCACTATTATTTTTCTCCCAGCATTCCCCTTGGTAGCCGGTCGGGTTCCATATACGCCAAGAGCCCTGACGGGAAGGCGGCTCACGGATTGGATCGAGTGGATTCAGTCCGTGGATCCAGGATTGATTCAACGAAGGGAGGCAGATTTGAATACCTACACCAAATCTCTTAGTCTAACTGGTATCTTGGTCATGGAAGTCAACTAAACTTACATACCTAATCTTAGTAGGGCATGATGAACCAACCGTATTGATGGTTGATAATCCAATGGTTCTACCAGCATGCCACATGTCAGTTAAAGCCTTCAAGCTATCTAACTTACCAATATCCCACAATGGCCTCATCCAACATCACTGAACCGACCCACAACTTATAGTCTGGCATCCTACAACATCAAAGGCCCCGTTCTTAGGAGGACATCTGATGAAGGGCGTCGCATGGGATATGCGTATGTGTGAAATCAATGTCTGGCATGCCGGTCCACTTAGGTGCCTTAACTAACCTACGTCCATACGGATTGTTCTCACGATCTTATCAGCATTGAATCTACCTACCTACGCCATGTATTGGGTATAGTAGGTAGGTATTGATCGAATCCACCAAGTAACGAGTAGAGCTACAACTCGCGTCAGTTCTATATTCGGTTTGCACTAATAAGACAAAAAATCCGGGGTAACCTTGAAAACGCATTACCTATATCAATGTACTTAACTAAGGTCAGTACAAATAGTGTCTATTATTGGCAACTTGTGTGATGGCCCCATTGGGTATGTAGATTGGTTAGATGGTTTACGATTATGTAAGTATTTGTGGATGGGAAATATCAATATAGATGCAAAAGACTCTCAGACATTTGATATAGATGCCAATTAAAAACCTTTCACATCAATGTCTCTGAGATTAGATTTTCTTGTCTGACTGAGGTACCTAGGTAGTATCATTGCACCATATGAACACACTGATAAGCTTGGTTTAATTTTACGATACTGGTCTCGGACTCCGTTGAGACAGAGAAAGGTCTTGCTGACATGGATCAATTCACCTATTGAGGTTTAAAAGACCTTGTGAGTTCACGACAACACCTAGGCAACCCGCTTAGACCCCCCTCTCCCCCCTCTTCCCCAGCCTGCCTCTTCTTGATGAAACATCAGCTGGTTAAGCGAAGTTGGCCTGTCTTGCCTATTCCGGGGGAGGTCGTAGGATGATTGGTGCTACTAACGCGCTGAGTTCTTTTTCTTTTTTTACCTACTACCTAGGTACTTTAGGTGCCTTTAGGTGCCTATACCTACTTAATGTATGTAGTGTAGCACTGGAGATAATACCCTAACCTAGTTGACATACATTTGATACCTACCAGACATACTATTCAATACCTACTTTAGGTTATCTACCTAGCTATGTACAGTAGTACCTAGAACCCCTCATTTACCCCCCTCCCTCTTTCTCTTCCCCCCCTCCTCTCTTCCTTCAACTCCCCGCGCCTCTGGCGGTAGGTACTTAGGTAGATACATACATAGGTAGGTAGGTACCTAACTTTTAGGTTAACCTAGTGCAGTAACCTAACTAACCTAGTAGTATCTACCAGACCTACCTAGCACCCGCATCTGCACATACACCACGCAACCATCGACGCACCACAAACCCTTGTAATCAAATGTTGACAGTGGCTTGTTTTTGTTTCCAATCAACTCACCGCATCCCCGTCCCAATTTATTCCCCTCCCCTCTCAACTCAACTCATCAACCCCACGGTGGGCCCCAAGCCTCTGCCTCTGGGCCAAAGATCTCCTCCAGCTCCCGATGCTAAGACATCACCACAAACACAACACAACAAATCACCGTTTTCTTTTCTGCCTTGCCTACCCTATCTAGACATGCATTGACTTGTCATTGCCGCTTTTGTTGACATCTCCATGTCAGCTGCCCTACAACTTGGGCCCTTTTTTCTCTCTCTCTCTCTCTGTCTTCTCTCTTCGCCTTTTCGTTCCCACTTTGCATGCAGCTCGACCTCCATCCTTGATGCTTGCACCCGACGCTCATTTCTCTTCCCTCCCGGCTTTCCTAGTCTCTTACCTTGGTGCCTTTCTTTTCCACGATCGTTGACTCTATCGTGCCAC